CTCACAGTGTAATACACGACTCAGTCTTCTTTATTTGTTAAACAAATGAGTTACCAAAGTCATATCAATACAGGTCCAATACTGCTTTTAGTGCTGAGCGACTATAAGCTGTGTTCTGTTTGGTTCTCTCATCGTTTTCTATTCGCTGCATAGACAAAAAAAAACGATCGTGCACCTTTTCACAGACGGTATCGTAAACGAGTTTAGCAAATGACTTTTACAAATTTCGAGCTATTCTACAACGTAAAAATACCTTGCGCAGCGTTTCTCTTTACCGCGACCTTTCCTTTAACCGTGTTTTGCGTTTCATACGCTAAGCAGAACGAAGAGGTTTATAATATTTCAGTGGAACCTCGATATAATCAAGGGCCAATGGACTGATAAAATATGTACGCTATAACGTGATTCCGTTATATCGCCGTTCTTTTCCATGTACGTTTAATTTCCACTGGGAGTGAAGAATATCGTTCGCTTCGTTGTAGCGGAGAGGTTCGTTAAATCGAGGTTCAACTGTATTTGAAACAAGACATCTAAAAATCCAACGCAACAACAAGAGTTTTCACTTATAATGACTGCTTCCCCTCCTCATGCTTTCGGTGGAAAACAAGTCCAGACAGACACCCTGTTTTGCCGATCGCGCAATTGCAAAAGTGCATTCTTTTTAAAGACAAAATACCTAGTCTAAAAACAGTAACGGAGCAAACTGCGATGGATTTAGCAACTAGCAAAGAGAACGTTGCCAAAGAAAAGGTCTACTGAGTGAATGGAACAATAGCTTTTGCTTGGGCGTTATTCATCTTCTACAACCCACTAGTGTTCATAGCAAATATTTTTCAAATCGAGTTGCACTAAAAACCAGTCTTACATGGTGGCTAAACAATGAAACATGAGTTCGAAAAAGCGAAAATGTTTCTGACCTGATTCACTACCTTGTTTTCAAGAAATACAGTTATATGATGAACATATGTTAGGGTCGGGGATGTTTGATATAGCAACTAAGCTTTTAACTCAAAGGAGAAAAATTGAAAATACTTTCTCTGTTGATTCACTGAACATTAGCTTATATACACTGAATATTGAAGCGAAGAAATGAGAAAGGAGTGTCTGATAGACAGGAAGGTGTAAAAAGAGAGACTTCCAACGCGTAAAAAGTTCCTAGAGAGAAAGATTCAATTTCTCTCTTATAATGTTTTTAAAACGACTTAAAATTATATACATACATTGGTACAATGCATACAATACATATGTGACCAAGTTTAGCCAAGTCTTTAGGACATCGGAAAAGTTGGTGAGTTTGCATCTGTCAGAAAAGCCGCAGCTGCAAAGCAGATGCGCACCTAAAGAAACGTGACGCGCTGGAAGCCAAAAAGAGTGAATGATTGCTTGATTTCTTGTTAACATATAGATTCTCTCACTTAAAAACTTAATGTTCACTTCGCCGTAAATAAGGTGCTGGATGTTTCTATCTCCCGATACCCCGGGTAGCAAGCGTTCCCGTACGAAAAGGTTTTTCCGCATACTGACCGCGCGCAAATTGAAGCGAGAGCGAAAATATCGACGAAGCGGGGGTTGGTGGGGCGAGCGATGAGAGTGCTTACCCGTAACTCTCGCTCGCCCCACCACCCCTTGCTTTGTCGATTTTTTGCTCTCGCTTCAATTTTGCGCGGCCAGAATGCGGGAAACGATCTTCGTACGAAAACACTTCACGGTTACGCGGGCTACTACTTCCTATGTACCCTCCTAAGTCGTGCCATAATTAATAGAGAGGAATGGTTATGAAGCCAAAAGACGTTCTTTGTCGTATATGTTTTTGTTTCTTTTTTGGCCTTGACCGTGCACAAAACACAATTTTTATTATATATCTCATAATTTCAATTAGAAACCCCCATGCAAACACAAAGAACTTTACAATCAGTTCATTAGATTGAATTTGTTTCTCGTTGATCATAATTCAAACATCGAACTTTTTTTCTATGCGTATGAACCAATCAGAGCACTGTACAACTAGAAGTAGTATTCCCGGGCATACTAGCAATTGTGACGTCAATTAGCTTCCGTTACTTAGAAACATCATGACATCATGTTGCTTAGCAACCTATCTTATTTAAACTACGGGGTCAGTCGGAAATCGATGGCTTTTTTTTCTTCGTCTAAAAGTAGCCTATTTTAATTGCCATTCGAATAATTTCTTTTTCTGCTGGTATCGCTTTTTTTTCAATTAACTTTAATTGTGATTCACACTACTTACAACACTGGTACGTCTACTTACACAATTTACATCAGTACTACAACTACTAAAGTCCATTACATTACCGTAAAAACCTTTTATACAATTCAATTACTTACGCAGTACTTACACTGCTTACAATACAATGCAATTACAGGTGCTACTTACAATAATACAATTTGCATAACTTACTCTACAAAACAATACGATTACTTCACTAACTTGCGATACCAATTCTTACACTACTTACAAAATAATACGATTCCTGATGCT